GACAGGTTTACAACACGTTTACTATGACGTAAAAATTATCCATATTACTAAGAGATAAATAAACAAACTAAAAATGAAATGAGTTGACCTCGTTGTCGCAACTTGGTCTTGTTGACAGGGTGACTTAGTAGAACACACCTAGTTCAAAGTCGTCTGCCATAGTAGTTGTCATAATTCTCAGCATCAGACAGTGGACTTGGTACATTCTCAAACCTTTCGCCGGCATCGTAGTCGGCATCATCAGTGAATTTTGCCATTCAATACACCAAGCTACGAACTCATCGATGATACAAGTGAAATCAATCTTCGACAAACATTCTGCCGAAAACGGTTACACTATCACTCCTCTATCAATCTACTCTTTACACTCTTATGCCACTACAGCCCTATAACAACTTCTGACTTGTTTACATTCCACTCGTCAAAATGTGTGCTCTTTTGTGGAAAATCTAGTGTGGCCTCACAACACTTGCTATTCACCGACCCCTTCTCTTTCGATCGGCTGATCCGACTCGGGCCATCAATCCGGATCCACTCATTGTCTCCTAGATCCATTCCTTATCTTTCTGGTTAACCGATTCCAGTCACCGTGTACATTTCACTCCAGGCGCTAATTCTCAAGACCCTAGAAGCACATACACTGCCGCCTCACTGAGTGGAGCGCCTACCCTATGTTTCCCATGCTTGCAGATATCAGGCCTTCCATTCACAGGTCCTCTCCTTGATTAAACCCATGTTATCTGAGCAAACTGTGGACGCCTATCTCTGGTCGCATGGGGCATGTCAAGTGGATTTATAGTGCATTTTGGCCAGAATTCCTAATTTATATGACGGTGTGCTTATCCGTCTTCCAGGTTCCCAAAGTTGTACTGGTTTATTCAAGATAACCATCACTCTGACAACGTCTTCGCTTTATTGCCAAAAACCCTTGCCCCCACCTTTCGTCATCTTAATCCCTTTTCCTCCCTTAGCGGCAGATCCTTGGTCCAGAGGTCTTCTTTTAGCTGGTCTTGCTCTATTGTTTTCCCCGATTCCGCTTAAGCAGTATGCAAAGTTATCGCTAACTCTACCTTTCTATAATCTCCTATTCATAAGATTTGTCTCCCCAAGGATGTCAATGACCTCCCTAATCTTCCGCCTCTTTGCGTTGTCACCGTATGGAGCTTTCCTTTCAGTTGCCTTCCAATTGATCCCGTGTCCAGTCCGTGCGATGTGTTCCGCTACTTCTGATCTTTCTCTATCCATTTTCCTGCAGAGCCTCTGATGCTCCTTGACTCATGTGTTTAATTTTTCTCACCATAGGAAAAAGGATCACGATGGGAAAATTGAGGGGCGAGGAGTTTCGGCAATCAAGCGAAGACGCCGTTAGTGATTGATGTCTGTTTCAAATAAACCAGTACAAATTTGCAGGTCTGGCAGTCAGGGAGGTAGGCGGAAAGATGAGCAAACCGTCAAATAAATTCGAGGTTATGGTCAAAACCTACTAGAAATCAACTTGAGATGCCCCATGCAACCAGAGATTTGCGTCAACAGTTTGTTTAGATAATATGCGTTCAATCAAGATCGGGACCCGTGAAGGAAAGGCCTGATATCTGCAAGCATAGGCGCTCTGCTCAATGAGGCGG